AACTGACCGTTTGAGAAGAAATACAGATAGTTTGCAGAAAGGACGATATGTTCTATGATATAAATATGAAGTGGTAGCTTTAAGTGGACAGAAAACTATGTGCCCCTATAATTTGGAACCATTAAGAATAATGCCTGGTGACAGGTAGTGAACACAATAAATATCAAGTATTAGTAGTTAATGAATGAAGTTAAAATATATTGGCTAAGACATAGACACTGTCATATCATGTGACTGTGTTTGTACAGGACAGGCCTGCACCACGGGCTGGCATGCGGTGAGCAATCAATCAGGGCTTTCTGGAAACACAGTGACCCCTAAACCTGATCAGAAAGGATGAAGCGAGCCTAAGCAGATGAGGGGGCTTGGGCCTCCTAAGCTGGGGGAGTAGCATCACAAGACGGTAAAATATGACAGCGAGCGGTAAGTTTAGAAACCTGCAGTTGCTGTTTTGACAGAAGTAGAGAGTTTGTGGCCATAAGAAGGAACGTGCCCTGGAAGAAGTAGAACAGGGCTCGAAGGCCTGCGTGCTCTGAGGTCACCATTTCGGAACAATGGTGAGTGAGGGGGATGAGAGCCCCAGCCAGTGTCCCCGAGTCCCCTCGGTGCTCCCTGTTAGGCTGCGCAGCCTAGAGGTTACTACTGTTCCGCTACAGGTACTGTACTAAGGAACAGAGGGAATACATTAGAGTTTAAGTCCACTCTCAGTGAGTTAATAGCAAGGGCAACTAACATTTTTTGAGTAATTTCTATTATACATGTATTGTTTTAAGTGACCCCTATATAGTAACCCAGTTAATCCTTAAAACAACTCTAGAACCTAAGTAGAATTCTCATCTCCGTTTTACACCTGAGAAACTGAGGTACAAAGTGGTAAATCTTGTTCACCATTTGAATTTCTAATGCCAGTCAAACTGCCTAATATCACAGTTTCTTCTCTTTTAATTTTTAAAATTTATTAATTTTAGAGAGGAAGAGAGAGAAACACACACACACACAGAGAAATACATCAATTAGTTGTTCCACTTATTTATGAATTTATTGGTTGATTCTTGTATGTCCCATGACCGAAGGTCAATGCAGAGTCTTGGTTTATGGGAATGATATTCAACCAACTGAGCTACCTGGGAGGGCCACAGTTTCTTAATTAATATTTTGAACAAATAAATTAATAATGGACTGAAGAATCATGCCAAAATCCATCTTCGCTAGGGCCAAGGCAGTGCATTCATAATCAGGTCTCTGCCTCACTCACCACTTTGTGAGACCATTATAGGACAACAGTTCTCAAACTGTCTGAGGTATAATAATCTCCAGAGGTTCTTGCTAAAAATTCTAAGTGGTTAGATCTGGAGAGCAGCCCATGAGTTTGCATTTTTAATGGGTACCTCAAGCATTTTGTTCTAAGGTGATACCTGTACAAATTTTGCAAAAAAGAATATTACTGCTCACTATGAGTTGATAGTCATTACAGCTAGAAATAAAACTAGTGGGTAATGGTTATGGCTCACCCTGTCAAAGGAAGGAGGAGGGCAATGGTGGCTTCAACGACAATATAAGGAAATCCTCAGCGGCAGTGAAATCTGGCTACCTATCCGTATTGCAAGGCTTCTCAACCTTGGTAATATCGAAAGTTTGAGCACTGTAAGTATTGGCTGTGGGACAGCTTTCTCTTGCATTTTAGAACGTGCAGCAGCAACTCTGGACTCTACCCACTAGACGCCAGTAGATCAGCCCAACCCCTAACCGAAAATATCTTTTGACATTGATAAATGTCAACTTGCCTGAAGTTTGAATCCACTGCCGCAATGAAAGAGAGCTTTGTCTAGTCCCTTCCTTATAAGCCACTTTGGGCCTTCTACTCTAGAACCCTGAAAGACCCCTGATCTGCTTCCCTAAGCGTGTTCCTCTGTGAGACACTATGGTTTGTTTGTGGAGCGCAGTGTACCTTCTTGGCTTCCTTCAGAACTTATAGTATTTGTCATCCTTCCTCTCCATCCCCACACAGCTGATTTATTAAATCAGGTGAGGCAGGCTGTCAGGGTCAAGACATGGCTGATAGCCAAAATCATTCCTTCTTCAGGTCTTTGAGGGCTCGGATCCCTTCCACACAGCTTACAGAGAATTGCAATTGACTGTGACAGCAGGATAAGATGTTTCCCAGGAGACATACATTATAAAAAAAAAAAAGAAAAGAAAAATCAAAGGAGAGACGTAGAAATAATGAGTCAGATAAAAGTGTTTGAAAGAAAGGAATGAAATAAATTCAAAAATAGTTCAGCACAAAATTGGCAAAAAGCTAGATTTTGAAAAAGACAGGAATTTCCAAATTTCCCAGAAAAGTACTCCAATTCTTTATAATTTACAAGCATAAACAGGCAGCATGTAACTACCCAAGGGGGTATATCTTTCACTTTTCCTCTCCATTAATTTCTCTTAACTGTTCTCAGTATCTTTCAGTTACATATGGAAACATTAAGGGTAAAAACCTTAGTATGTGTTTTTGATGGGAGAACCACTACTACTATTGTGTAACACCCTGAAGATTCATATTCCTATTAATATATGCAAAAATCTTACCGAAATGCAAAGAATAACTAGATAAGCATTTGTCAGTCACTACATACTTCCAGCGAATTAACTTTAGTTCACCGGATCCTAACCAGATCCGTGAATTAGTGTGTGCGTCCAATGAAGCATCTACATAGCTGTCCAAAGCACGTTCTTACTTGAAGCAGAAAAAACTAGAAAGAAACTATCCAGATGTATATTGACATCAACTTTTAACTAAACGTATTCACCTAAAAATCAATGATAATGGAACGTTAGTGTTCTATCAATTAGTCGCTCTTAGCTCCCTTCACTAACGTGCTTTGTGAAGACAATAACGCTGCCTAATGAACGTTAATAGAAGAGTAACAAGAAGGTCAATACCTATTTTCAGGAGAGACTGAAACGATGGAGAATCAATCAAAGGGAGGTAGGAAAAGCCCAGCATCGCACCATCTGTTATTCTGGGCAAGGAAAGCCCTGCAACCTTGTTACCTCCAGGCCAGCTCCTGCCGGTGATTTCGGGAGGCGGGGTGGCAACAGTTACCCTCGCGTCTCGCACAAACACTGTTGCTTCTGCCTCGCGCTGTGTGCAGGGAGACAAATGCTCTCGGGGAAACGAGGTGCTAAATGGCAGTTCACCCCGGAATCTGGCCGGCTCCACGTGACTGCGGGGTGATTAATGAGACCACCAAAGACGCCGACCCCGGGCATCGCCGGCGGGAGGCAGGGCTTCGGGAGGGCGGGGGAGCCGGAGACAGCCGGGCAGCCGGCCTGCTTCCGCCGCGGCGCTGTCTTCGGGGGACAGTCGTTCCAGCTGCCAGAGGCTTTCTGGTTGCCATGGTAACTGTTGAGCTCTGCTGCAAACTCGAAGCAGAGCCTCTGAAGTTAGGCGCCCAACACTGGAGCTCAACGAATGCAAAGGCAACCGGGGAGGGAGAAGGGAACAGTTACCCGCGCGCCAGGGCTACAACTCCTACGGCTCACGGGGACCTTTCCAAAAAGCGGACTTTTGTGTGTGTCTTTGTAAAATGAGATAGTTCGTGCCTGGCATTATTCATTCGTTTCCTCTTCTGACGCGGAGGGAGCAGACTGCAAATTCGTTCCCCTCGTAAAGACGGAGGAAGGGAGTTCGGGAGCGCGGGGCCCAGGAGCGCGGTGCCCAGGAGCGCGGTGCCCAGGGGCGCATGAGCGCGCAGCTGCTCCAGGCACGGCCACCTCGCCGCCACCGGCCGGGGCCAGGTCCTGGGGCCACAACGGGACGGGGGACACCGCCCGCATCCCAGAGAAGGATGCTTGGCGAGCCCTAGCACAGCCCCGCGAGCCCGGGGAGAGCCGTGTGGGCACCGCCGCC